TGCTGGGGGATTGAACCGCGGTCCCTGATGCTTTTGCTAAGCTTGTTCTAAGTAGGTGCTTTAGACCACTGAGCCATCTCTCCAGCCCCAAGAAAAAAGATTAAAAAGATTTTAAAAAATTAAAAAATGAGAATAAGCATCATGTTGCTCTGTGGCCCCATAATTTCCTTGATCAGAAAATTTGGAAGACAACTGAGTTATATGATGTTACAGTATAGGTTCTCCTGTGTTCTGAGTCTTCACTGACTTTGAAAACTTAGGGTCAAAATGTTGGCAGTCTTTGCAGACCTTCTGTTTCTCTAATTTTTGGTCTGCAAACTTAGGTTGTTAACCCTCAAGAAGAGAAGTTTATTATTACCCTACAACATATGCAGTTGCATTTAACTTCACTATCTGTCTGAATATCAAACATTTTAGGCATAACATGGAACAGGTATTTTCCATCAAGTATTGATATGGTAAACTTTAAGTCCCTACAGAATATGGAGATAAAAATTTAAAAAATGAAAAAGATTTAAAGAATATGAATAAACAATTACATATTTTTACACTGTGATTTAAAAATCTAACCATATACAGCACTGAAGCAGGACAGTCCTGTGACAGTATTTTTTTCTTCTGTCTTTTTTTCATTTATTACCCATTTAAAAAAAAAAAAAAACTTTTATTTGAAAGACAGTATGGTAATAATTGGTATGTCATGACAAGAAATAAATATTTAGAAGACCGGAATAACAGTCATTCCAAACGTGACCCTTTTATTACACATTGCTATCTTCAGTGCAGTTGCTTGGTTCACAGGTATCAGCATATATAGTTAGGGTGAGAATCCTACCAATTAACTGCTAGTTTCAAAAACCTGCTGATGTTTCTCAGGATCATTGCCTTGCCCATCTTCTGCATAGAAATGTATGGCTATCCCCCTGCCTTGTTTCCCAGCTTCTCTCCTTGCCCTCTCCTCGTTGTCCAAACCTCAACTTCTCGCTTTCCATTTAATTGTGTTATACCTTTCTCTCTGTATTTCTTCCTTTGAGTTCTTATACTAGGGAGACTATACCATATTTACACATGTGGGTCTAATTTATTTCACTTATGAATATATCTTCAAGTCGCATCGACTTAAATATAAAGGCTTCAAGTTTATCATTCTTTATAGCTGAGTAATATTCCATTGTATAAAACTGTGATGTCTTTCTCAACCATTCCTCATGGATATCTTGGTTATTTCTAAGATTTGACTATCACAAATTATGCTGCTATAAACATAGGTACACATATATCACTATGATATGACTTTTCAGTTCCTGTGGGAAAATTCCCAATAGGGACATAGCTGGCTTGAATGGGATTTCCAGTCCCAGTTTCTTAAGGAGTCTCCACACTGATTTCCATAATAGTTGCACCAGTCTACATTCCCACCAGCAGTGGAGAAGGGTTCCCTTTTCCCCACAGCCTCTCCAACATTTGTTGTTGGTTGATTTCTTTGTGATAGTCATTCTTTCTGGTGTGAGATGGTATCTCAGTGTTGTTTTAATTTGCATTTCATGGATGGCTAGTGATGTGAAGCATTGTTTCATATATTTATTCATTTCTTTAATTTCATCCTCTGAGAAGTGTGTGTTCATCTGGGATGCCCATTTCTAGATTGGGTCTTTAAGTTTAAGGGCCCTAATGTTTTTTAGTTCTTTATAAATTCTAGAGAACAGACCTTTGTCTGCGTGCTTATTAGTTAAGATTTTTTCAAACTTTGTGGGTTTTCTTTACACTTTGTTGGTAATTTCTTTTGACGCGCAAAAACTTCTCAATAAGAGGTGGTCCCAGTTGTTAATTCTTTCAGGTATTACCTGTGTGATTTGATTTTTGTTCATGAACTCTTTGCCTACCCCTATGTCTTCAAGAGTTCCTCCTACTTTCTCTTCCAGGAGATTTAGTGTTTCTGTTTTAATGTTTAGATCTTTAATCCATTTTGATGTTAGCTTAGTGCATGGTGATAAACCTGGGTCAAGTTTTAGTGTTCAGCATGTAGAGAGCCAGTTTTTCCAGCACCATTAGTTAAAGAGCCTATCGTTCTTTCAGTAATCATGTTTGGCCCCTTTGTCAAAGATCAGGCTGTTGAGTGTGTTTGTAGAGGCCTCTGCATCTTCTAATCTATTCCATTGATCCTCAGTTCTATTTCTTTGCCAATGCATTTTATCACAGTAGCTTTGTAGTATAATTTCAAGTCAGGAATTGTAATGCCTCCTGTCTTGTCTTTATTGCCCAGAATTGCCTTTGCTATTCTAGGTCTTTTTTGTTTCCAAATAAGTTTTAGGAATGATTTCTCTAGGTCTGGGAGATATGTTGGTGATAGTCTGATAGGGATTGCATTGAATCTGTACAACAATTTTGGGAGTATGGCCATCTTCATGATGTTGGTTCTTCCTATTCAGGAGCAGGGAATATATTTCCATTTCCCAAAATCCTCTAAAATCTCTTTTTTCAGAGTACTATAATTTTTTAAAAAGATCTTTCACTTCTTCAGTTAGATGAATTCCAAGGTATTTTATTTTCTGTGGTGCTATTGTAAAAGATATTGTTTCTCTAATTTCCCTTTCAGTGTGTTTGTTATCTGTGTAGAGCAATGCTATTGACTTTCGGGTATTGGCTTTGCATCCTTCTATGCTACTGAATGTTTTTAATCAATTTTAGTAGCTTCTTGGTGGAGTTTTTTGGTTCTTCCAAGTAAAGTATCATGTCATCTGCAAATAATGATAATGTAACTTCTTCTTTACCTATTCTTATTCCGGCTATTTCTCCCTCTTGTCTAATGGCTCTAGCTAATGATTGCAGAACTATATTGAATAGGAGTGGTGATAGGAGACATCCTTGTCCTGTACCAGATTTGAGAGTAAAAGATTTCAGTTTTTCCCCATTTAGAATTATATTAGGCATTGGGTTGTCATAAATGGCCTTTATCAAATTGAAGAACAGGCCTTCTATTCCAATCTTCTGTAGGACTTTGAAGATGAATGAGTGTTGGACTTTGTCAAAAGCTTTTTCTGAATCAATTGAGATGATCATGTGGTTTTTGGATTTGGCTATATTGATATAGTGTATTACATTTTTAGATTTTCAAATATTGAACCATCCTTGCATCCCTGGGATGAATCCTACCTGGCCATGGTGTATGATCTTCATGATTTGCTGTATTCTATTTGCTAGGATTTTATCTAGGATTGTTACATCTATGTTCATGAGGGAGATTGGCCTGTAGTTGTCTTTTTTATTTGGGTCTCTCCCTGGTTTTGGTATCAGTATAAAACTTGCCTCCAGGAATGATTTTGGAAGAACTGTTTCCTTTTCAATTTCATTGAAGAGTTTGAGAAGTGTAGGGATTATATCATCTGTAAATTTCTTGTAGAATTCAGCTGTGAATCCATTAGGACATGAACTTTTTCTTTGTTGGCAGGCTTTTTATTACGTTTCATATTTCATTGGCTGTTATTGGGTTATTGAGAGTTGTTATATTTTCTTGATTCCATTTTGGTTATTTGTACCTTTCTGGGAATCTGTCCATTTCGGCTGTGGCTTCTATTCTGTGAGCGTAAAGATTCTCAAAGTAGCTATTGATAATCTTATGAATTTCTACTGGGTCTGTGGTGATATACACTTTTTCATTCCTTATTGCTTTTGAGTTTTTTCTTTCCTCTTTTTGATGAGGTTAGGCAGGGGCTTATCAATTTTATTTAGTCTTTCGAAGAACCAACTTTTTCATTCATTAATTCTTTGAACTGTTTTCTTCATCTCAATTGAATTAATTTCTGCTCTAACCTTTATGATTGCTTCACATCTTTTGGCTCTGGGATTAGTTTGCTCTTCCTTTTCTAGATGTTGGAGGTGCAGCATTAGGGTGCTTATTTGTTACCGTTCTGTTTTCCTAGTCTGTGAGTTCATAGCTATGAATTTCCATCTGAGAACTGCTTTCATTGCATTCCATGAATTCGGATAAGTTGTGGTTGAACTTTCCTTGAATTGTAGATATTGTTCAATTTCTTGTTTAATTTCATCTGTAACCCGTTGATTGCTGAGTAGAGTGTTGTTTAATTTCCATGTATTTAGGGGATTTTTCTGGTTTCTTCTGTTGTTTATTTCCAGTTTCATTGCACTGTGGTCAGATAATCAGCATGGGATAAATTCAGTTTTCTTCCATAACTTAAGAATGACCTATGGGCTAGTATGTCTTCTGTTTTAGAAAATGATCCATGTGCAGCTGAAAAAAATGTATATTCAGCTGTTGTTGGGTGGAGCACTGTATATATGTCCACCAAGTCCATTTGTTCCAAGCTCTGGTTCAGTTCAGCTACTACTTTGCTAATTTTTTGTCTGTTTGACCTATCTTTTTGGGATAAGGGGGTGTTAAGGTCTCCTGTTAAGATTGTTGTTTTGGGTATTAGATTTTTCATGTCTATTAAGATTTGTCTTATATAGTTGGGTCCTCCCATGTTTGGTGCATAGATATTTATGATTTTTATCTCTTACTCTTGAATTTTTCCCCTAACTAGTATATAGTGGCCTTCTTTATTTCATTTGATCATTCTTGGTTTGGTATTAAGACTCTGAAAACAGGATTGGTACCCCTGCTTTTTTCTGAGGTGCTGGGGCATGTAGTATTATTTTCCATCCTTTGATTTTCAACCTATGAATTTCTTTATAAGTTAAGTGTGTTTCTTGTATACAGGATATTGTTGCATTTTGTTTCCTAATCCACACTGCCAATCTGTTTCTCTTAAATGATTAATTGAGTCCATTTACATAATGGTTATAATTGAGATGTATTGATTTACGATTCACGTGTTACTTAACTGTCGTCATTTACTCCTTTTCTCCTGTGTTTAATGGTTTGCCCTATTTAGTTGGTTGCTTCGGATTTCATCTGTGGAGTTCTGATCATTTTGGTCCCTCTCTAGAACCTCTTTCAGGAGCCTGTGTAGGGTTGGCTTTGTCATCATGAAATTCTTTAATTGTTCTTTGTCATGGAAGTATGCCACTTCTCCATCAAACTTGAAAGAGAGTTTTGCAGGGTGTAGTAGTCTGGACTGAAATTTGTTTTCATAGAGAACTTGAAATACTCTGCTCCATGCTCTTCTTGCCTGCATGGTTTGTGAAGAGAAGTCGGCCATAATTTTGATGGGTTTTCCTTGGAATGTGATCTGCTTCTTTATTCTAGCGGCTTTCAGTATATTATTCTTGAGATGAATTTCTGGGATCTTGACTATTATATGTCTCATTGTGTTTTTCATTGGGTTGAGGTTACTTGGCATTCTGTATGCTTTGTTCACCTGAATGTCAGATTGATTCCTCATATTTGGGAAGTTTTCTGCTATTACTTCTGCCCATATTTTTTTAATGTCATTTGTGTTGACTCCTTCTTTCTCATTGATGCCTATTAGTCCCA